ATTCTTAAACTACTGTGTTCTGTTAGTCCAGATTTCTGATTTTGCAGAAGGCAGATGAACCCTAAAAAAAAGAGAAAACAAAAATTTTTTTTTTTTAAAAAAAAAAAAAAAAAAAAAGCAACTGGTTAACTTCCTCAGTATGGTTTATTCTTTCAGGAAGCCATGTGCTTTTATCTCTTTGGGATGTTCATATCAGTGTGGTCTGTTCATTTATGGCTCACTTATGACTTAGCAGATATCTCAGGGAAATATCAAGAAATGCCAGCACAAATGTGAATGAAAATTCTTATAAATATTTAATGCTCCTTGATCTAGTAATACTGCTTGGAGAATTTATCCTAAGGAATGGGACAGAGACATGCCAATGATTTGTACACAAGGATATTTATAGCGGTATTATAACAAATTAGAAATAACCTAAATTTTAGCACAGCTGTAGGGAAATAGTTAAAATATATCATTTGTTGAAAAAGCACGTAACCGTTACAAGTTGTGTTTTTTGAAAAAGTCTTGATGACATAGGAAAATATGCACAATATAATGTTAAGTAAAAAAAACAGATAAAGGAGAATAACAGTGGTTATCTCTAGATAGTATAATTATGGGTACCTTTGATTTCCTGTTTTCAAAATTTTTTAAATGAACAAAAGTTGTTTTTATAATCGTAAAAGAATGGTACACATCATTTATACACCAATCTATACCTCTAGAAGATATCCTAGTAAAACTGGGGCAGTTTTAGCACATGGCTCTCAATAAATGTTTGTGAGATAGGTAGGTGGATGGACAGAGAGACGAATGAATGAATGACAGTTGGCATCTGTAGGCACCACCATTGAATTTATAAGATTGCAGAAATAACAAGTGAAGATTTGTTAATTAAAAGGAGAAAATTCCAAAACCTAAAATGCAATAAAATAAATAAATGGGGAAAAAAAAAGAAAAAAGGAGAAAATTCCAGACCAGTCAGCAGTTTGAAGGATGACATGGAAAGTACCAAAGGAGCCACAAAATTGAGTGACTGACAGTAGCCGAGGAGTTGTAGTCATTGGAGTTTGTCATTGGGTCCATTGCTGTTCTTGTTTCTGCTGATTCTATGTGTGTCCTTAAGTATCTTGTGCCTGCTGTTTTCACTGGTCTCTATTCAGTTTGGCCAGTGACCGAGCATGGTGAGAATGAAATCAAGGTCAAGAGTTCAATTCCCATTTGAACCAGTTAACACTTTTCCTTCTAGGGAGAAGATATCCCAAAGCTATCTCTGGTTGAAACTAGCCATATGGACAAGCAGGAGAGTGTTGATCAGGGCAACCTGCCTCTAACACTTGTGAAACCACTTAAAACACCTCTGTATAGAGGGCTATAGTGTCCTTATGTTCTTTGAGAACAGGCCTCTGAAATTGAGGTGTTGATGTGTATAACCTTTCCCACCAAGGGAATTAATATAAAACTTGGCCATGTTATAATTTTTATTACAAATTCAGCCTAGTACAGTGGCTTACTCCTGTAATCACAGCACTTTGAGAGGCTGAGGTGGGAGGATCACTCAAGACCATCATGAACAACATAGGGTGACCCTGTCTCTACAATAAATAAATAAATTAGCTGGACATGGTGGCATGTGCCTGTGTTCTCAGTTAGGAAGCTGAGGTGGAAGGATCACTTGAGTCTGGAAATTTGAAGCTACAGTGAGCCATGATCACACCACTGCACTCCAGCCTGGGTGACAGAGGGAGACTCTGTCTCTTAAAACAAAAACACACAAATTCACAATAAGCTGTTCATGTAAATAATAAATGGGACTGATGGACCTACATTCTATCCTACAAGGTCTTAATATCTGGGATGTTTTGATCACCTTGCTGAACTGAATCTGGCTTCTTTGTAAGCCCGTCAGTAGACAACATTAGATGTGTGAATGAAATCTAAATGTTTCCAGTACATTCCATTGTCTGTGAAGGAGCCTGCGTCAAAGCCATTAGACTTTTGCATAGCATCCTGTATCTCTGCTCTTGGTGGCTTATTAAACACAGTGTTTTAAATTGTGGTTACTCTTAAATCCAACTGCGCCATACTAGTGCCAGTGCCTTGTTTGTATCTGCCCTGTCTTGATACTGCTAAGGTGTTAGATTTATTGTTTGTCTTTTTCAACCTGAATCGCCTCTCATCACTCATTTTAAAAAATCTTATTCAGGGGTTGAGGAATTTACAGTTCTGAGCCCAATTGTCCTTGTCCTATATGTCATAATATCTGAATATGATGGACCCCCTTAAATAGGTCAACTGACTGTTTAGTTCAGGGTATTTTAGGAAGAGGAAGAGAACTGACATTTTTGAGCACTAATAATGTGCTATAGTTTACTAGATATTTTCATGTACATTATCTGAGTTAATCCTCAATATAACCATGTAAAGTAGGCATTACTACCCCAGTTTTATGAATGAGGGATCTAGCTTTGATAATTTAAATGATTGAATCATCATTTGAATGCTGATCTGTTGGATTTCAAAACCTGTGACATACTGACTCCCAGAGATAGCAGAGTTTCTTAGATTTAACCTAATACCACACCGATCACCTGGCCTCGCTTCCCCTCTTGCTTTTCTGTATTAAAAAATATTTTATTTTTAATTGACAAATAATTGTATATATTATATTAGGTACAATGTGATGTTGATATATGTTTAACGTGGAATGATTAAATCAGGCTAATTTACTATTTTTTTTTTTCTAAAAGGACCTTGCCTTCAGAATTAACTTTAATTTTCATTCCACTCTGCTTATATTACCTTGGCAAGATCAGTCCTTTGTGGCAAGGCCAGGATTTAAGCTTTGAACCACCAATAAGGAGGGCATTGGTTCAAGATCAATGCACTAGCAGAGAGAAAAACGGAAGAAAAAAAAAAAGGGCATTGGTTTGAGCCTGCTTTCAATTTTGTCCAAAATCCAGTTATTCATATTTTACCTTGTTCCCAGTAACTCATAATACAATCCAAGGATGTGCCTTATTGCTGGCCTGGTACTTGCTGGATGCTCAGTATTTCAAGGCATATTGGGTTCCATCATCCACTTGAGAGCCAAAAACTTCAGTTGTAGGAACATAGTGCTTTCTATGGTGAAAGCAAGCATGTTTCTCCTCTGGGACAGACTGGTAAGCAAAGCAACTGCAAAAAATTTACCAAAGGTGTGTTGATGTGTATGTAGTAAAATAGATCAATGAGAAATAGACCATTTGGGCTGAAGACGATATAGGGTGAAGGTAGGGAGAAGCGAATTTTCAAGAGTAGGGAAACTGAAAGGGATGATCATTATCCTCTGAATGACTGAGGAAAGCAAGCTGGGAGTTAATCTAAGTTAGTGTTAGATTAACTAGGATTAATCTAAGTTAGTCTTAGATTAATTTAGATTAACTCAAGGAATTAAGAAAACCTGAGTGCAAAGCATAATGGTGTGGTGACATCCTTTGAAAGGAGTGTGGCTGGATTCCACCCAGGTCTAAACATTCTAGTTTGCAATTAGAATGAACATTTTCAAGGGCCTCTTGGAATTAGCTATTACATGCTGGATTCAAATGCATCCTCAGGCCATTAATTTAGGGATATTTAGGGATTAACCAACCTAAGGTTGTTTCAGTACCAAATCCCAGACAAGTTAATCCATACCGTTTTGGTTTCTTCTTGCCCTCTTTTGTTGTCAACTCGGCAGCTTTCTGGGGTGATATTACAGTTTAGGGTCTTGAGAGCCAAACTCTCTAGCAATCCACTTTGGAGACCAGGAGGTTTTGGAGAGGGTTACAGGGAAGTTCGGGAAGGCAGAGAGTGGTTCCTGAATGAATGTCTTCCCCATTTTGTTCTTGAATTTTTGCTGCCAGGTTGCCCAGAGGGAAACTGAGCATAATTTCCATCTGCCAACCTTGTCATTTTCTGTACCCCACAGAAAGGAGGATGAGGCACCTTCTCCTCAGCTGGTCTCCTGTGCAACTGAGTTCTTTACGAAAATGCAAATTTGGTAGTAAGTGGAAGGAGCCCCGAGGAGCAGTGGCTTCGGTCTGGAGAGCTTGGCTGTGCTTGCCTTGATACCCACCTTTTTTCTTACTCTCTTCCCTCCCAGTGCCTCAGAATTTGTGATCCAGCATTGTCATCGACAAGCAGCTACAAGTGACATATGAGGCCATCTTAAGGGAAGGGGCACCAGAGACTTAAAAGGTGGTGGATTGGGACCAGTAACAGAAGAAATAATCACAAGATAGTAATTCTTTGGGAAGTAGCCTATTTTGAATATCATGAGGTGTAGGAAAAGACAAGCTTTAGACGAATTGAGGTTTCTACCTGTTAGGCACACTCGCCCCGTATAAAATCTCTGATTCCTATCAGCGAGGGCAGGAGGAGGAGGGACTCCTTACCTTACCAAAGCAATTCCTGTAGTAAATCACTCTAGTAAACAGTTAAAAAGAACAGAGCCACATTTCTCTTGTGCTGTCCAGTATGGGAGTCACTAGCCACATATGACTATGAGCATTTGAAATATGGCCAGTTTAAATCGAGATTTTTATAAAGGAAAACACACACCAGATTTCAAGGACTTAGTATGAAAACTATAACAGCATAATTTTTATATTGATGACATGTTGAAAACAATATTTTGGTTACATTGGGTTAAATAAAACATTAGTTTTGCCTGTTTCTTTTTACCTTTATAACATGGTTACTAGAACATTTAAAATTATGTGTGTGGCTCACATTATATTTCTGTTGGACAGTGCTGCTCTAGTATGTTCAAAAATAGAATTTGATCTATAAGCATCTTTTTAGGAGTACAGTTCTTGCTTTAAATAAATATACCTGTACATGAGAGACAGGCTTATTTCAAAAGAAGGACAGGGTGGAGTGGAGATTTGAAAATGGGGAAACTGATTATAGAAGAAAGTCAGGACCCTGCCTCAGTTACTTCTCAGTCTGGGGGTGGGGGATGCTGGGACAGGGGTCAATTGCCTGAAGCAAGTGCTCTCATTCCCCTCTCTCCTGCTGCTCTAGTTGGGACTCCAGAGAGGGGAGGAGAAAGGCACTTTGAAATTTCTCTGCCCTTACCGTCTTAGCCATCAAACTCTGAGTTGGAGATAGTGACAATGTGACAGGAACTTTCCCTGGGCCTCTCTAGGCCACCATTCCTGGCCAAGAGAAAGAGGAGGAATGAGGTGAGCACCTTCTTCACTCCCAGGGCCATGTGGTAGAGCTGTAGTCGCACCTCTTTCTGCCAATAGGCATAGATGAGTGGGTTGAGCAGGGAGTTGCCCACACCGAGCAGCCACAGGTACTGTTCCAGCACTGGGTAGAGGCGACACTCCTCGCAGGCCACCTGCACAATGCCAGTGATAAGGAAGGGGGCCCAGGATAGAGTGAAGCTCCCAATGAGAACAGACACAGTGCGGAGAGCTTTGAAGTCACTGGGAGTCCGTGGGGGTCGATAACCTCCAGCCATGGCTCTTGCATGTTCCATCTTTCGGATTTGCTGGCTGTGCATGGAGGCAATCTTGAGCATGTCACAGTAGAAGAAAACAAAGAGCAGCATGGCTGGGAAGAAGCCAACGCAGGAGAGAGCTAGCACGAAGCGAGGGTGAAATACAGCAAAGAAGCTGCAGGGCTCTTTGTAGGGGGTCTGCTGGAACATGGGGACTCCGATTGGGAGGAAGCCAATGAGGTAAGACACCAACCACAGCCCGGCAATGCAGGCCCCGGCCACAAACCCACTCATGATTTTCAGGTAGCGGAGGGGCTGCTTGATGGCAAGGTACCTGTCAAAGGTGATCAGCATGACCGTGAGGACAGAGGCAGCTGCGGAGGAAGTGACGAATGCCATTCGCAGGCTGCACAGGGTCTTCTGTGTGGGCCGAGAAGAGCTGGAGAGCTGTTCTGTGAGTAGGCCAGAGATGGCCACGCCAATCAAGGTGTCAGCCACAGCCAGATTCAAGGTGAAGCAGAGATTGACACCATCATTCTTGTGAATCAGTAGCAGCACAGCCACAGCCACTAGTGTGTTAGTGGCAATGATGAGGGAGGCCAGGACAGCGAGGATCACTCCAAATGAGAAAGATGATTCCATGTCTTAAAGTGGCAGTACTTCACTTAGGAGGGCATGCTGTCTCTCCAGCTGAAATTCTCATGGGCCAGGGGAAGAGGAGCTGTGGGTTCAGAGCTATGGCACAATTCTGGCCTTCACTGGCAGTCCAGGCTGGCAGCTTGCCCTCTTTGTAATCCTGCAGGTCATGAAGAATTACTCATTCTCTCTTTTTCAGTCCTCAGCCTCCTGCCTGTCTAGCTTTCTAAAGGCAGCAATCTCAGTGCCAACCTCCCCCTGGGCCCCTAACTAGTCCCTCCCCCTCCAACCACCAAGTTACTAGACAACACCCAAGTACCTGTACATGCTGTCTTGCTAGGCCCTCTCTCTTCATTGGTGCTTCAAGGACTCTGGAGGGATGGGGACATTCATCAGGTCTCCTGTCTGTCAAAAGATATAATTGACTCCAATCATCCTTTTTTTTTCCTGCATACCTTGACATTAAATTTCTACTTTTCTTCCAAAGCCTTGAGTACCAACTTAAAAATGAATCTAAGCTTAATTAAACATTTTCTTAATAACAAATTCTCAATTACTATTATGAATCACTTTTAATCAAGCAAGATGCTCATAATCAGTTGAAGTGGGAAGTGAGGGCAGGTGAGCTTTTAGAGGGGCCCCAGCATACTTTCAGGAACGTTACCACACATTTAAGCGGTTTCTTACCTTTTGCTTCCTAGTGCCTCAAATTTTCGTTCTCTCATGTAGGGCGTGCTGTTCCCCCATTTCTCATCCCTTGGAACCCAGTTGAGGATTCAGGACAGGAAAAGCAGGGCCAAAAACTGTTAACACCTGTCATTCAGTTTAGAGCCCATTCGCCATCTTGAGCTGCTGTCTCTTGTGTATACTCATTGATAATTATTTCTGCAGCATGTTGGGCCAGATCTCTGGTCAGTAAGTAGTGGCTGCCGGGCTTGCCTTTCTTGATCCTGTAGACCCGACGTATCTCTGTGGGAGGAGGAGAAAAGGAGATGAGCCGCATTCTGGGAAGTATCTGCTTGATGTTTGGTTATGGAATTTTCCATTTTCCAGGAATAGGAATATGGGGGCCAGGTGGGGGGTGGGGTTAGATCAAAGGGCGACTGTGTTGTTGAATCAGGTGAGATGCGCCCTGGAGGGGCAGCTGTGTAAGTCCCTCCTGTTTTAGGATGTGTATCCATTTGCTTAGGTACATTAGAACTAACCTTTTGCCTGCTACTCTCATCTTGGATACCAAGAAGAGAGGGGTGGGGAGAAGAGTGGTTAGAAGCTTATTTACTCAGTTCAGGTGAGAGCACAAATGGGAAAGGTTAGTGTTTGAAGCGAGGGAGTGGAGAGCAAGGTGCAGAGTTGGAGGCAAATATATTCCAGGATGTTTTGACAGTCTGAGAGGGCCTTTGGCAGATGTCTCTCCTAAAAAAGGGTCAGAAAGAATGTGTCGTGGGGACTCAGTATTCTAGTTGCCAGCCTGAAAACAGTTCTTATTCTTTGATATGTCCATTAGCACATTGATTCCTGTTGCTTAGAATCTAGCCTAATTTTATTCCTGGACCTAAGGTGTGCTTGAATTCCCCAGCTCTTAACTCCATGGAGTCAAGTTAGCCCTTTTCAAGAGCTTGTTCAAACTTGAGAGTGTGTCAGAATCATCTGACCGGTGTCTTAAAACCCAGGTTCTTGGGTCGCATTCCCAGAGTCATTGGTGAGTCTGAGAATCTGCTTTTCTTTTCTTTTCTCTTCTTTTTTTGAGAAGGAGTTTTGCTCTTGGCGCCTAGGCTGGAGTGCAATGGTGTGATCTTGGCTCACTGCAACCTCCACCTCCCACGTTTAAGCAATTCTGCTGCTTCAGCCTCCCAAGTAGCTGGGATTACAGGTGTGCAGCCACCACACCCGGCTAATTTTGTATTTTTAGTAGAGACAGGGTTTCACCGTGTTGGCCAGGCTGGCCTCAAACTCCTGGCCTCAGGTGATCCACCTGCCTTGGCCTCCCAAAGTGCTGGGATTATGGGCATGAGCCACCGCACCTGGCCAGAATTTGCATTTCTAACGGATTCTGCTGTTGCTTGCTCAGGCACCACATTTTGAGAAGCACTGCTCTAGTGCAATGGTTCTTACCCTTAGCTGTGCATTGGAATCCGCTGGTGATTAAAAAAATTCTGCTGTTTGGGCCACACACCAAGAGATTCTAACATGATTAGTCTGGGGTGGTACCTGTGCATCGGAAGTTTTAAAAGTTCCTTGAATGATTCTAATATTCAGCTAGGGTTGAGAACCACTGTCCTTGGTTTCCTCATGTGTAACATGGGTACAGTCATAGTTATATCACAAGGTTGTGAGAATGATAAAATGAGGTATGATATAGGCAAAGATTTCATGACTAAAACACCAAAAGCAATTGCAACAGAAGTCAAAACGGGATCTAACTAAACTAAAGAGCTTCTGCACAGCAAAAGAAACTATCATCAGAGTGAACAGGCAACCTACAGAATGGTAGAACATTTTTGCAATCTATCCATGTAAAAAAGGGCTAATATACAGAATTTACAAGGAACTTAATTTTACGAGAAAAAACAACCCCATCAAAAAGTAGGTGAAGCATAAGAACAGACACTTTTCAAAAGAAGACACTTATGCGACCACCAAACATATGAAAAAAAGCTCATCATCACTGGTCATTAGAGAAATGCAAATCAAAACCCCAGTGAGATACCATGTCATGCCAGTTAGAATGGTGATCATTAAAAAGTCAGAAAAAAAATGCTGGAGAGGATGTGGAGAAATAGGAACGCTTTTACACTGTTGGTGGGAGTATAAATTAATTCAACCATTGTGGAAGACAGTGTGGTGATTCCTCAAGGATCTAGAACTAGAAATACCATTTGATCCAGCAATTCCATTACTGGGTACTTATCCAAAAGATTATAAATCGTTCTATTATAAAGACACATGCACACGTATGTTTATTGCAGCACTATTCACAATAGCAAAGACTTGGAACCAACCCAAATGCCCATCAATGTTAGACTGGATAAAGAAAATGTAGCACATATGCACCATGGAATACTATGCAGCAATAAAAAAGAATGAGTTCATGTCCTTTGCAGGGACATGGATGAAGCTGGAAACCATTCCTTCTCAGCAAACTAACGCAGGAACAGAAAACCAAACACTGCATGTTCTCACTCATAAGTGGGAGTTAAACAATGAGAATATATGGGCATAGGGAGGGGAACGTCACACACCAAGGCCTGTTAGGGGGTGGGGGTAGGGGAGGGGTAGCATTAGGAGAAATGCCTAATGTAGGTGATGGGTTGATGGATGCAGCAAACCACCATGGCACATGTATACCTGTGTAACAAGCCTGCATGTTCTGCATATGTATCTCACAACTTAAAGTATAATAAAAATAAATAAATAAAAACATAAATTTTGAAAATGAGATACGATAGATACGAAAAGGCTTCATAAAGTGTAAAATGTTACACAGGTATCAAGCGTCTTCTAGTCTCTGTTAATCAAATCAACACATTGTTAATCAAAGTGTGTATCAGAAGCATTTGTATGACCTGAGAGCTTGTTAGAAATGTAGAAGCTTGGCCAGGCATGGAGGCTTATGCCTGTAATCCCACCACTTTGGGAGGCTGAGGTGGGCAGATCACCTGAGTTCAGGTGTTCAAGACCAGCATAGCCAACATGAATAAACCCCATCTCTGCTAAAAATACAAAAATGAGCTGGGCGTGGTGGTGGGTGTCTGTAATCCCAGCTACTTGGGAGGCTGAGTGGGGAGAATCACTTGAACCTGGGCAGCGGAGGTTGCGGTGAGCCAAGATTGCACCACTGCACTCCAGTCTGGGTGATAGCGTGATACTGTGTCTCCAAAATAAAATAATTAAAAAAAAGAAATGTAGAATCTTAGGCCCTATTCAAGACCTGCTGAAGCAGTCTGCAGTTTAACAAGATGTCCAGGTGATCTACATGCACATTTAAGTTCTGTTTGCCTCTCTCCTACTCTCAGGTGTCTAGATGTATTAGTTTTCCTTTGCTGCTGTAACAAACTACCACAGACTGACAACACAAATGTAGTATCTTACAATTCGCAAGGTCAGAAGTCCAAAGTGGGTCTTACAGGGCTGAAGTCAAGGTGTCAGCTGAGCTGTGTTCCTTTGGGAGGCTCTAGGGAAGAATCCATTTCCTTATCTTTTTCAGCTTCCAGAGGCTGTTTGCACTGCTAGGCTCCTGGACATATCACTCCATGGTCACGTCTCCTTCTCTGACCTTCCTGTTTCCCTTTTTAAAGGACCCTTGTGATGACATTGGTCCACCTGGGCAATCCAGGGTAACTCCCCCATTTCAGGATCTTTAATCACATCTGCAAGTACCTTTTGCCATGTGAAGTCACATATTCACAGGTTCCTAGGATTAAGACATGGACATCTTTGTGGGGAGCATTTTTCTACCTACCACACTAGTATTCTCTGCTGCACGGGTCTCTTCCCTCCCAAGCCCCCCTTCAACAGAGTCTGCCATTGAAATGAGGCTCCTAGGAGAGGAGCTCTAGGAAGGTAGTCAGGACAAACCAGGCCTAATTTCTCATGGTGCCTAGACCAGCCATCCATCTGCCTGTGATGATTTAGCTGCATCTTGCCTGAGGACAAAGGTGCAGTGACATTTAATAAATACCTCTTCCTGAATGACTCGACTAGTACATATATTACTATAAAACATTATGCAGCAGTGTGAAAAGAATGGGAGAGGTTTATATGCACTGATATAAAGAGACTTCCAAGATATGCCATTGATTGACAAATCAAATCACAAATCAGTTTCTAGAGTCTTGGCTCACTTATGAGAAAACTCCCAAACCCAAATATATCTGGATGTAAATGCATAGAATGCATAGAAAAGAGACTGTTAACAAAGAGTGAATAACTTTGAGGACGGGAATGGGATTGGTGGGGGCTGAAGAGTCACAATTTGCTTTGAATACTTTTTACTTGTCATATACACATACACACACACGTATATGTGTATGTATATATATATATTATATGTTATATATAGATAATAAAATATATATATAACATATAATATATATATATATACATACACACATACGTATACAGGTATGTA